CAGCCACTGCACCCACCACCCTGTGCTGCCGCTGTTCCGTGTCCAGCTGCGCACCACTCCCTCCAACCCCATATCTAGTCATGCGCTGCCCCCTCCCTCCACATCCAGCTGCAGGGAGTACACTTATTAAAAAAGGTTGGAAACACCTGCTATAAAGAAGTTAATCAAAATGAAGGTCACAGTTGAAGGTCTTGTTCATTTTTACATTGAAAGAATTCCTAACAAACAAATATCAACCAGAAAACTTAAGTCTGATGATTCTGCCCTAGACCTTGGGCTGTCAATCAGAGCTTACATATGAAATCTCTTGGAACTAATATATTAATAATGAAAAAAACCTCAAATGAATTTTGCCAAAAGAAAAAAAGAGTAGGTGAAGCAGAAGAATGCTTTTCTATGATACCTGTCACTAGTAACACTGGGGTGTCTGCAGTTTGTGTGTTAAACAAAAATGAATTTCACCTTAATTGCAACTCCTCTGGTTTCTGGAAACTCCAGAAGGTGGTAAGCCAGTTCTTCAATTCTGTTGATACAGACTCTTTGGTTGGAGGTTCTTCTTAAGGCCTGAACTAAAGCCCGAGTTCTGTTATCAATACTAACTCTTGCAATAATCTGATGACAAAAGCAGAGAGAGAGCATGAAACTACTCACAGAAACAAGGAAAGACCATGAAACATATATAAACCTGAAAAAGCTATTATCTAAATTTTATTTTCTTAAATTATTTGAAGTAGTGAGCAACTTATTTGTTCATTTGATCAATTAATATGCTATCCTCCCCAAAGGCTCAAACTGACAAACAGAAAGAGAATAAAACAACTTATTCAGATGGGAGACTAGAGAAAAAGCAAGTATATTATCAATGTAAAAGAGGAACACTCCCTGCTCCCCCTCCCCACCACTGTAGGAAACACTGCTAATGGGAAGATTTTGAAGCACTTGCTAAAGATGTCCAGCCTTGGGCTGGCAGACCTCAAGGGGGAGGGAGTTTCAGACCTGAGGAGAACCTCTTCCAACATGTTTTTGCCCAACAGACTTGTAAAAGGTTGCTCAGGGGTCATGAAGCAGCACAAGGGAGAAGGGAGTCACATAGGTACATAGGGCCCAAACTGTTTAGGGTCTTATAAGTTAAAACCAGCACCCAGAGGCACAAAGAGAGCAGTTCTGTACCTCAGGCAACAGTGGCCCAAGGTGCAGGGATGGCTCCCAGACGTCAGAAGCAGGTGTTATTTTTGTGTTCTCCCTCTCTTCCTCCCCAAATCAGAACCAAGCGCTACTCTCCCAGTCACCGGTCATAGTAATGCTACTGCCAGCATCTTCAACATTATCCAGAAATCTACTGGGGGCTTGTGCAGACTCTGGAGCACTGGAGTTACATGCTCTTGGTAACCCACTCACATCATGTGTACTGCTGCATTTTGCACTAGCTGCAGCTTCAAGTTTTCAAGGGCAGCCCCACATAAAGCTCAAAGCATAGTATAGCCTTGAGCTTATAAAGGGATGGATGGCAGTAGGCAGATCAAAGTCTGAGAGAAAGAGCCACAGCCTTCTCACTTGAAAGAGTTGGCGAAAGGCACTCCTAGGCATCACCACCACCTGTAGATCCAGATGCAGCAGCGGATCCAGGAGAACCTTGAGGCCGCTTACTTGAGTGACAAGAGGAGGCTGAACCGCAATGATAAAAAGAGTCCCAATCCCCCCCTCCTCTGCCCAAGTCAAATGGTCTCCCTATCACCATCACCTCTTTTTTTATTTGGATTCAGTTTCAATTGGTTCACCTGCATCTAGTCCCCAACTAAAGCCAGACATTAGGAGAGAACTGAAACCGCACCACCTGGGTCAGATGGGAAAGATAAACAGAGCTGATGGCATCTCTCTCTATATTATGCACAATGTCATCCATTAGCCTCATATACACAGTGAATAGGAGGAGCTACAAGATGCCCTCCCTGGGGAACCGAACAGGGATGGTCCCAATAAAGCTGATGGATGAAAATTTGTTATACTATCTGGGATCTCCCTGCTGGAAAGAGAGGAACCAATGTATTGTAGTAGAATAATGTTGTAGTAAGTGAGGCTTCCAATAAAGCCTCGCCTAAGTAAATGAATTTTAAAGCAGCTTTGAAATAAAAAAAATATCCCAATGAGAGAAGGTAAAATTAATATGCTTCTGATAACAACCAGCTAAAAACTCAATATTTGTAAACATTAATCTAAGACTTGCCTTTTCTCTCTGAAGTGACAGGTGTTTTTCTTTCTCTTCTGCAGATTTAATCTCTTTGCCATTTTGCTCTTCATCTTTCCCAGACTCACGTTCTTCTACTTTACCCTTCATTTCAGAAGCAGCTTTTGATTCAGCTCTTAATTTGGGAACCAGGCCACCAATATAGCTGTCTACAAAAGCTTGTACACTGTTACTAGGGTACGAAAGGAAGCTTGCAATACTCTTTTTAGGTGAAGCTGGAAAAGCTGTATTTGTCTTCTCAGCATCTTGAGTCTCTGTGGCAGAAATTAAGGCAGATGCTGAACTTGTGCTACTTGCATTAGTCATCTTACTTTCTGAATCAAGTTTCTTTCTTTCTTCGGTTTTACAGTCCTGTGGAAAAGCATTCCCTTTTTTCTGTGGATCCATAACAATATTAGTGCCAAAGTACAAGTTGATATGATTTGCTAAACAGTTGTAAGTCTCTCCAAAATTTGTACTGAAGTGGCTTACATGAAAAAGGTAATCTTTTGAAATATCTTGATTAGTACTACTCGTACTTATCAGTGCAGACTCCAAGTGTTCATTGACATGAACAGGTTTCTTGGCAGCCAGACTACCACTGTAATCTCCCTGAATCCTGGCTGTTTGTTTATTTTTTTCTAGATTTACCTTGAGGTTATTTTCATGAGCATTACTTTCAAAAGCTTTTCCAAGAATGCCAGAATGTGGCTTGAATCGAGCTATGCGTGAAACCAGTTCACTGTGAGTACCAGAAACAACCTTAGAAACAGATTCCAGAGTACTCTTTATTCGTGACATATGATTGTTCACTTTATTAAGTCTCTCGGGAGAAGAAGTTAAAAGTTTAGAAACTCTATAATACAGGAAGTCATGGCTATGGATATTTTTACTATACCACAGTGTTCTATTTCTGGTCCATTTGAATTGAGTTTTGCTTGTATGAATAACTCTAAGAGGAATAGCATGGTTTTTCCTCCAGTAAAGCTTAGGTCCACACAAATAGTACAGATGCTGGTTTCTCTGCTTCCCCAAAATGCTTTTTGTGTTAATCAGGAGATACAAAAATGCCTCTAATGGCAAATTTACTGTCATCACTTATAGATCTTGATGCCTTCCATATGTTCCTGTTTACACCATTCCAAAAGCCTAATCAAAACACCCCCCAAAGAACTACCCTCTTCACTTCATGGAGAGTGTTACCTGAAATGATAAAATGATTAGAACAAGTTAAAATAAATGCTGGGAGTAGTTTAGAAGTTATTATACCATAGTTTCCTTTCCACTAAGAAGGGATAAACATTCAAATCAGCTAGCTTCTTCAGGGTACCTTGCTGCCTAGGGCATTTGGTAACAACACCCTAACTTTTCCACTTAGGTTATCAGTTTAAAGACACCCTAAGGTAGAAGCCAAAATCACCAAAACTACTTGGTAGCCTATAATAAGTGGTCAGGAGCCTTTCAGGCTGCAGGGCAATTGACCCAGTTTGGATCAGAGGTTGGGGGAGTTCTACAAGAAATGCCATTTTGTGGAGGGAGACCAAGGCTCAAATGGAGCCAGGCAATGAACCTGACACTTCAGAAATCATTCCTCACAATTCCTTGAAATCAACGCTACTCCTTAGAGCTGCAAACCCAACAACTCTGGCAAACAGAGATCTGTGCTGCTTTGCGTCTCAGTGGGCAGCCAGGCTCCTCTGAAAGTGCTTTCCATATCGCATATAAAACATTTAGTACTATTCAGTACTAATCAACTGCAGACACTCCCAACCTGATGGAAGAGTCTGGCAATTAAGGGCAAAGTTACAGAGTGACACTTAAAATGTGTCTGTGTGCTAAAGCTTGTTCACTCAGGCCCTCCCAGGATCTCGACGGTGGGTCCCTTCAGGCAAGGGGTCACCCTGGGCCGTGCTAGCTGGCATGAGGGCAACACACGCCTGTGCCAGAGAGGAAGAGCAATTTGCCGCCCCCCGGTATCCCAAGGTGCACCGCTCCCAGCCCCTTCCCCACCCCAATCAGGTACAGGGCCCAGGTGCTTCAAGCCACCCCCGCGGCGGGTCCGAGCTGCACTGACCCACCCGCTAGACGCTGCTGGCACAGGCGGGGCGGGGCCGGGCCGGGCCTGCGGTAAGGCGGGGGCCCCACCCAGTGAGAACTCACCCCCGGACGGTGTCAGTAGCCGGGCCGGGGAAGCGGGAGGCGCTGAGGCGGGTCGCTCCTGACCCCGCGGGACAGCGGCCCGGCACCAGCAAGGTTCGAGCCCTCCGCAGCAGGAAGCGGCGCCCGCTACTGCGCAGGCGCCACCTCCCGGAAGCAGCTGAGTCGAGGCCCGCTCCGACCCAGTGACGTAGTTCACCCCTGACGCCCAGCTCCGGCTGTGGACTGCCTGGGCAGGGGGCGGAACTTTCTGCGTCGCCGCTCGTTGCCATGGAGAGAGGAGCGCCGGCGGCGGCGGCTGGCCTGATTGGCCTGGCATGCTGCCGGGGGTGGGGCTAAGCCGGCGCCTGGCCGCGGCAGTTCTCGTCACCGGCCGGGGCCCTGGCGGGGGAAGGGCATTACGCGCGGGGTCCGTGGCCCTGGCCCTTCGCATGTAGCCTGGCCGGGCCGTCTCTTCTGTCCCTCGCCTCCCCCCGCTATGTGTGCTCTGCATCGCAAAACACGCCGGTGCAAACGCCTCGAAAAGCGCCCTCAGGAAGGCTGAGAAGTCAGAGCTGCTTTGAGGCTTTAGGCCCTGAAATCATGAGACCTCCTCGACCCCCTTCTTGCAGATCACAAGTGTCACCCACTCCTAGACCCGGGGTCTTCACTTCGGTTGTGCTGAAGCCCGTCCCAGAGCACCCTCCCCCACAGAGCTGAGGCAGGGTCAAGATCTGGAGAATCTACTGCCTCTCCTTCCTAGTCCTGGTCCTGACGGCTAAAGTAGGATTTACCATGCATGTGGGCTTTCCCAGGCATGTCCTCTTTCTGAGCCCTCTGATCTCTGTTTGGGCTGTTTTTTGAAAATCTGACCAAATGTCTGGGATTTTGCTTTGCTTCGCTGGTGGGAGCAGGGGGAGGGCGACTGGAGGCAGCAGGGAGCACAGAGGTACCTACCTGCAGCTGCAGAGGCACATGCAGACCCATGTGGTGCTCCCTGCTGCCTGAAACCGCCCTCCCCCTGCTCCCAGCAGCAAAAAAAAGCAAAATCCCACACATTTGGTCAGGGCAGGGGGGCAGGGACTGGGGCTGCAACGGGGCAGAGGAGGTAGAGGGGTTGCCTGCCCCTCCAGCAGGGGAAGAAGAGTGGGAAACTAAGGGCAGGGAGGAACTCTATAGCTGGCTGGTAGCACAGGGGTTGGTGTCCGTGCTTGCGGGGCTGGAGCAGCCAGGAGATGCTGCCCAGAGGGAAGAAGGAGAGGGGAGTGGGTTGTGGTCGTGCTACCTGGCGCATCCCATCCCAGGGCAGGGCGTGCCAGAAGTCTCCCCTCCTCTTCCCTCCAGCCCATGCTGGGGCAGGACACGCTCCACCACTGCCTGCATGTATCAGAGGGGCATAAGGGGGGGTGGGGGTGTTCTGTGCGTTGTGAGTGTGGGTTACTGGCAGCACCAGGGAGCTGCGGGTCAGGAATGAGGGGCACTATTGTGGGGAGAAGAGTTGCAGGTAAGGAGTGAAGAGCACCATCATCGCCCAGTGGGGCAGGGTACTGCAGTTTGGGAGTGCGGGGCATTGGCAGGGCTGGGATCGATGAGTTGGGAGTGAGGGGCAGCAGCTGGGCAGGGCTGAGGCTTGGCAGTGAGGGATAGGGCATCAGCATGTCACTGCCCGCTCACCATCATATTCCCCCTCTCCCCCCATACGTGATGGGTCTCCTCTTTTTTGGACCTGAAAATATAACCCTAGAAAGTACTGTGCCTCATTTATGGTAGGATATATCCGGCTTGAGTTTAGAGAGACAGCATGGAGGAGTAGGGACTTCCAGAGGTCTTCTAGTCCAATCCCCTGCCAGAAGCAGATCATCCCTGTCCAAACCACATAGGATTATGTGATCCATAATTTAAGTGGCCCAGCAGATGCAGTTAGCTGGGTTAATGTGAAGTCAAGTAGAAGGCAGGGTAGATTTGCACGATAGATAGATTAATAGATCCCAGGGTCCAAAGGGACCTCAGTGGGCCATCTAGTCTGACCCCCAGAAAAGAGTCACCAAACCTGGGATCATGTTGTTGCCCTGAGGGGTCAGGCCAATGCTCAGGATCTCAATATTGCGCTGTTAGACAGGAGAGCGTGGTGTACAATTGCACATATACAAACACACAAATCAATTAGGTGCATACACACACACACACACTACCAGCTCAGGGACATACACATCCAAACCAGCCTAGGCACATGCATACCTATCACCAATTCAAGCACGTACACTATACACCCCAAAAGTTAGACACAGATCACTAATTCGTATATCATGCACACAATGCCATACACACATACACACACACACACACACACAAAAGCTACTCAGATATATACACGTTCAAAATAACCAGTCTAGGTTTATGTACACCTATCACCAGTTTAAGCCCATACACGCTACACACACCAAATTTAGACAGAATCAGTTACCAACACCTGCATATCCAATACACATATGTGGATTACTAATTCATGTACCACACACACACAATGATATCTATCTATGTGTGTATATATTCACTATTTCACACACATACCACCCACCTACACATACACACAGGTGAGTTCCTAAGTTGGGTGTTGTGATGTGTATGTATGTATGTGCTTGGTGTACTTGGGATACCTGGGGAAAGGTTAAGGTAAGAAAGTAGAAGTTTAGGGAATGAAAGTTGCTGGTAGTGAAAGTTACCAGGACTGGGATTAGAACCGGTAGACTAGAAGGGCCTGGGCTGAAGAGCTGAGGGTCGGGGCTAACTTTAGGTTAATTGAATAAAAGACAATGCCCAAAGC